TGACGTCTATCGCTGCCCTGGACGTTATGAGACTTGCTGCTGCCATCTGGAGGTGGGAAGCGGCCCTGTCGGTCACACTGTGAAACATGTGCTGTGGGTGGGTGGGAGGGAGGGTGAAATAGCTCAGCATGTGCTGTGGGAGGGAGGGTGAAATAGCTCAGCATGCAAGTCACCACCCCAAACATCTGCCAGCTGAGCGCTGGGCTTTTTCTAACGAGCACGCGGATGCCCCCTGATTCCGCACCGTGCCGAGAAAACCGGCCAATGGCAGGGACGGATATCAACAGGAGTTGTATAAGATCAGGACTATAAATAAGGGACAGACTGTTAATGTGTTAAGGCTGTTGTTTCTCTCTTAGAGCAGCAGCTGAGACTATTAGCTCCTCTCTTTGAGTCTCTCCGAGCCAGACGGGCATATGTGCTTCCATTTGAAGAATGTGGGGAAATGTGTTCCTATTGGACACACTGCCATGCAAACTTTCTGCTTGATCCAATATGACTTTACTTTAGTGACCTTAATTCCTTAAGAATAAAATTGGGCTTTTTGCAGTGCCACTTTAATAGAATGTTCTAGAAGTGGTGTGTCCAATAATCAAGCAAGTTTGTATTATATCACTCAGGGCAGCAAGTTGTTGTTGTTTTTCAGTAGTTCAGATTTTTCCCACCACATTTTATATTTTATTTTGAATAATTTAATTAAATGTTTTTTTTTTTAATGGTAGTTGTTTTTTTGTTTTTGTTGTAGGAATGCTTTTCAAGTCTTTTATGCTCACAAAGTCTGCATTTATTTAAAAAAAAAAAACTGCTATGTTTTGAGATATTATTACAATTTCTGTAATAAGTTTTCTGTTTGAATTTATTTTGAAATGTTATTCGTTCCTGTGATGGCAAAGCTGAATTTCCAGTCTTCAATGTCACATGATCCTTCAGAAATCATTCCAGTATGCTGATTTGGTGCTCAAGAAAGATATTATTATTACCAGTAAAGAAAACGTTGTGCTGCTTAATATTTTAGTGGAAACCGTGATCCACTGTAATTTTCAGGACTTTTATAATGATAATGTTTCAAAGAACATCATTTATAATATATTTATAATAATGTCCTTGCTCAAAAGTATTCCTTTCCACACAAAAAAAAAAAAGTACTGTCCCCAAATTTACAGTAAAGTACAGTAATATAACAGTAGTGTAATTTGCAACGGATGTTTTATCCACAAATGTAAAACCTACTGGGCCTGTGACAGCCTGTGTGATCAGCTGGATCAAACTCTTACCGAAAATGAACTCGGTGATGCCTTTGAAAATTATTTATCTACTCTAAAATAACGACAAAACCAAAATGGTTCAAAACAAAGACATTCCCCCTTCTAAGGGCTGTTAAAATTCAACCTTGGAGAGAAAATAGCTGCTTTTAGGCAGTGAAATCTGAGACATGTTTTTTGCTTTTCCCTCAGGATCATAGAAATGAACAACCACAGCCCCCCTCTCACTTTCAAGAGATTTCAAGCCATTGTGAATCGACTCGAACTTCCCAGGAAACCATTGCCGACCATCACTCAAGAGCAGATGGCCAGGTGTCGGACGCAGATCTTGGACAATCATGATGAACGTTATGGCGTACCCTCTCTCGAGGAGCTGGGTTTTAAGACTCAGGGTGACAGCTCACATGTATGGAAGGGTGGTGAGACCGAAGCCCTGGAAAGATTAAATAAACACTTGGACAGAAAGGTGAGACATGGTGATACTTCATAAAGTTAAATTATTTAGAATACATTTTAATAATGACTGTTGACTACTTAATTATTAACAAGAAATACAGTTATGTATTTTTAAATAAAATGTAGTTGTTGTTTTTTTAACTCCAGTGTATTTCTAGAACGTAATAATGAATGAATGGTTATATATATATATATATATATATATATATGTCAAAATAGTTATTTTTAATTTTTATTTATTTATTTTTTTTTTAATATTTGATTTAATCATGTTATTTTGATGCAGGCCTGGGTAGCAAATTTCGAGAGGCCTAGAATAACCGCCCAATCACTGTTCGCAAGCCCAACTGGACTTAGTCCTTACCTACGATTTGGATGTCTGTCTTGTCGCGTGTTCTACTACAATCTGCGGGAACTTTACATGAAGGTAAGTCATTGCTATTTTATGGCATTGTTGGTAGTCTAGAGAAGTGGAAGTTTAATATTCTGCGGTAGCTTGTATCGAAATGATGAAAGTGGATGTTCAAATCAAATAATTACACTTGCCAATAGATGCATTTGAGTTGAATGATAAAGGGGCCTAGAATCTAGCCTTGGGGATGCCACAAAAAAAAAAAAAGATAATTATATGCTACTTGCCAAAGTTCTGGACACACTTGATGAGGCTGATGTTGAAATGTGTCTAAATTTGAATTTATTTACAAAACTAATAAAATGGATAAGTTGGTCCATATAGTGATGCAAAAGCATACATGGGAACTTCAGTACTCATAAAAGTATGACAGGTGGATACTTCATGAAGTTAGCTTTGAAATAGAAAATTCAAATGTGGCAGTAATTATGGTATAAGAAATAATTATCGATGCGTCCTGTTGAATATGCATGTATTGTTATAAAAGACATACAGTAGAACTGCCACAGCATAGTAAAAAGAATATTTTGTGACTATTTTCATGACCTCTTGCACTTGTCCAGCTGCGGAGACGCTCCAGTCCACCCCTCTCACTCTTTGGCCAGCTGCTGTGGCGAGAGTTTTTCTACACGGCAGGCACCAACAACCCCAACTTTGACCATATGGAGGGAAACCCCATCTGCATTCAGATACCCTGGGATCACAATCCCGAGGCCCTGGCTAAATGGGCAGAGGGTCGGACAGGGTTCCCTTGGATTGATGCCATCATGACCCAGCTAAGACAGGAAGGCTGGATCCACCACCTGGCCAGACATGCCGTAGCCTGTTTCCTCACTCGTGGAGACTTGTGGATCAGCTGGGAAAGTGGAATGAAAGTAAATGAGATGGCACAACTTTGCCGCCTTTGCTTTTTTTTATTTCTTTTTCCTCTCTTAATCTCTTTCTCTTTCCTTCAGGTATTTGAGGAGTTGTTGTTGGATGCGGACTGGAGCGTGAACGCAGGCAGCTGGATGTGGCTTTCCTGCAGTGCGTTCTTCCAGCAGTTCTTCCACTGTTACTGTCCCGTGGGCTTCGGCCGCAGGACGGATCCCAGTGGAGACTACATCAGGTACACAAACCAGCCCTGAACCACTCTTAAGCAAGTCATACATCACTGGCAGATGTTATATTTTAAGAGTTTTGCAGATTTGTGTTGCATAAAGGCTTATGTAAACCGTCACAGGTTCAGGCCTTTCCACTGTGCATAATCAAAAGAGCTGCTGTGACATTGTGAATAAAGAATATCAGAAGAATACCTTGGAAAATAACCAGCTGCGTCAAATTTTAGCACCTGAAAGATGCCATAACAAATACTAAGAAATTATGAAATTAGATTTTTTTAATACTGATAACATAATTTGTAATAAAATGTATATAATTAAATTAGGTAAGTGTTTATTTTGCCATTATTTGTGTCTGATATAAACAGAATGTGTCTTGTACATTCTCACATACAGGAGGTACATCCCGAAGTTAAAAGACTATCCTAACCGCTACATCTACGAGCCATGGAACGCTCCAGAATCGGTGCAGAAAGAGGCCAACTGCATTGTGGGTGTGGACTATCCTAAACCTATGATCAACCATGCCGAGAGCAGCCGGCTCAACATCGAACGAATGAAGCAGGTTTACCAGCAGCTGTCGCACTACAGAGGCCTTAGTGAGTAACACACAGTGGACCTATCAATGATGACATAAGGTTTATTACTAAAATATCATTCTGATGATACTGAGTGCTTGTGTATGGGGTTGTTTAAGCTGTTGCAATAATTTACTGTCATTTCACACTAAATTTCTTTGAAGCAGTAGCTCTAAGCACTGTAATGATGCAGTTTGTTTTTGTAGATAGTTAAACTGCATACAGAAGCGATCATGCTTGCCTACACAAAATGGAAAATATTAAATTTGCAGAGGCCATTTTAGCTGAAAATTGATTGCAAATGATGCAATAACTGAAAAAGCTTTTCAAATCTGCCATTTTAACAGATAAAACATAAGATAACTGGTCAACATTGCACAAGAAAAAACAAGACAGAGCATTACTTGTTAAGACTAAAAGAGGTCTTGCTACATAAGTCCTGGTGATTTCAATGTGTTGTAAAAAAAAAAAAAACAATAGTTGCAGCATTTTACTAACAGATAAAATGGAGAATCTGTAAATTTACAACCCAGTCTATCAGAAAGATTTGATTTTACATAATGCGACCTCTGTATATTAATGCAGTTGTATGCAGATGACAACTTAATCAGCGTTTACAAAAAATTTCAACTAAGCCTCTTTCTCTCTTTTCATGGCAGGTTTGCTCGCCTCAGTTCCTACGATCCAGGAAGAGGCAGAGCCTCCCATGTCAGATGACTCTCAGGCCAGCAGCAGCACTGCCGGTGAGGCTCATCAATCATCATACTAACAGGATTCACTGTGCAGCTTTCAGTTTTCTTTGCTTTGTTTTTATCTGTAAAGCAAAATGTAACTACACGCCCTGATCTCACAAAAAAAGTTTTACAATGCCAAAGAAATGCTTAAAGCAGACTTCACCCTTAATATGTTAATAACTAATCATCCCTTTGGCCCTCAAATCAAACAGAGTTTTTCTTGTCAGGACAGTGCTTTTGCTGAAGCACCATCATGTTTTCTACAGGTCAAGCGTGCAGTCCTGTCCCATCACCACACCAGCCCACCTCTCCACCATCAACCCCGCCCAACTCAGAGCCCTCCACCCCAAACTCAAGCCCGACAGCGGCTGCCCTGGGGGCCCACACCCAGAGGAAGAGGGTCCGACCCCCTGGGCTCCCATGCAAACAGAAGTCAAAAGTCAAGCACACCAGCCAAGCCAAAGGAGTCGAGCAGAAGACTGACGACAAGCAGTGACCACAGGTACCAGCCACAGTTATAAAACCCATAATGTTTTTACTGAGTCTTATAATAATAATAATAATTATTATTATTATTATTATTATTATTTGTTCATAATTATCAACAAATTAAAAAGCATCATTTTAAATTATGCATATATGCATAGAAAAAGTCCAGTTTTTAAATTAAGTCAGTCATTTTAATTTGAATAGCTGGCAGCTCCGGTTGAATGAATATGTATCTAGTTATTACTGCAATGTTTCATGATGAGGTCTGTGGGAGCAGTTTCATAAACCAGCTTTATTTCTTTCTTAATTTATGTTTGCTGAATCCCATAGCTGATTTATTAAGCGTATCCAGCAAGGAGCAAAATGAACCAGCCGACAGCGATGATGATGAAATATATATAAATATATTCTGCTCTCTTCAGGTTGAGACTGCATCAGCGGTCCCATATCCAAGGAAGTTGGAGTCCACCTGAACCTTCAGACAGACAGAAACAGCAGGAGAAAAGTGTGAAATGGCGCCACCTTTCGCAGAAGAACAGAAACGGCACTAATAAAAAAATTACAGCTAAAGAATTAACGCTGCAGTTCCATCAATGCGTGTGACAAATCCAGGACTTATTTGTCAAACATCCATAATAAAAAAGCTGCTTTTGTTCCAGTTTTGACCTGCTAAACTAAACATGATTGTAAGAAGATACAGATCTGTGTCAGATGTGTAGTTCTCTTGGAATTACGATGTGACAGAGATCTAATGGATATTGCGGTCACTGTTGAAAGTTTAGGGTAACGAGCGATTCGCCGATATAAGTATTCATTAAATCTATCCAAATTTTATGCAACCCAGGTTTATATTTGATAATAGAAATGATGAGGGAACATTTGAAGATACCAGATGAATTGAGAATTTTAATTTTTGTATGAAGTCTGATGTAGTTGGACTCTATAATTGCTTGCAAGCTACAAGCAACTAGTTCACATAAGCAATGAAGAATTTTACTTCTTCGGTTTCTGGTTCAGTAATTTACCCTATAAATATACACTTTGTGTATTTAACTCCGAATGCAAACATTTCATTACCATTGGCTGCACTAAAGTTTTCTGAATTTAACCGTATCCAGTCCTCAGTTTATAATTCAATAGTCAATAATTCAGCTTGATTTATTTACCAAGTCTGCAGGTTTTCTAACAGTTGACGAGGATTACATTCCACTAATGTGTGTTCATAATAATTTAACAATTTAAGATGTTCTCTTTGGCAATGTGGAACAGCTTTATTTATTTTTCGTCCCTTTTTCTTTTTTTGTATTGTATAAAAGAGTTTATTTTCATTAAAATGCTGATGGGATTGTTAAGCTGTTTGTTGGCAGTAATTTATTTAAGCCCTTTCACTGCATGCTTCTGTCAGCGACAGTGTTTCTGCGATATATTGCATCTACGATGTTTCAATGTAGATTACAATACATCAAATACATTTCTTGAACCTATCCGAAACATATTTGAGATTGTTTTTCTTTAACATGAAAACTTTATCATGTTATTCAGACATTAATGAATTGTCATACAGCTTGTAGAAGAAAGGTGTGTTTTTACTTTTCTAAGTGATCAGACATAAGATTTTTGCCTGGTGGATGTTAGTACAGCTGGGTGAATCCCATACCCATAGATCTACACCGAAGGAGGGACCGTAGCCATATCTAGCTATCGCATGATCAGGGTGTGGGCTCTTTTGACTTGATCACACAGAAATTCCTAGCAACTGTTTAGCAATTCCTTATCAACCACTTGCAACACTCTAGCATGGTGATGGAGTCTGGTTTTAGTTTTGAGAAACACTGACTTCAGCCATCACTAGAGGGCATCTAATGTTTGTTTTTAATAAATATGTGAAAATGCTGAAGGGCTGCTCACTTGCATTAAGTGATTAAAATTGATCATATTTATGGTCATTGTTATAAATCATGAATTTATAAATGTTTCCAAATGTTCAGACGTCTCTTTTGACTGCCCAGTGCATATCTCACATATATATATATATATATATATATATATATATATACTTTTATATGTTTTTGTATTGTGTTTTTTGAAAACTTGAAATCGCATCATATGACCCCTTTAAATCTTTAGTGTTTTTTTTTAGTCTAGTATTGTTTGCCTTTATTTCTATTAAATATATAGTATTTTGTTTTTAGTGTTTATTTTATTGTATTGTATTATCTTGTATTGTATTGTCCTGTCCTTTTGGTGTCCTGTTTTGTTTTTATTTCTTTTGTTCTCTTCGTGTTCTTTTTCGTAGTTTTCTTGTGTTTTTATTTATTTTATTTTTTTTTGTCCTTTTTCCCATTTGTTTTCTTTCTCTTCTCTCTTTTTGGTGTGTTTTGGACATTTTTTGTTTCATTTCTTTGTTCTGTTTTGAGGGGGGGGGTTTTTCCCCCTTTTTTTTTCTTTTATGTTCTGTTATATTCTTTTTGGTTGTCCTGTTTTTTTCTCTCTTTGTTGTTTTTTTGTTGTTTTGTTTTACATTAAAGTCTCAAATGCTTATGTTTTTTTAATATTTTTTTTATGAATGAGTGAATGATTAAAATGACATCTATGATTTTCTCATTTTTATTAAATCAGTGTGCAGCCAGTGCACATCTGAGTGAACTGATCAGCATCCAGCAGTGTGCTGGTGTTTATCTCAGGCTGGCAGTGTAGTAATGCAATAGAGCTGATGTGAATGGCGTCCTGTGGGAGCTGTGCTAATGAGGAAAGAGCTCTCAGCTCCTGTCCAGGTCAGCTAATGTCTGCTCTTATAGAGCATAATGACCATGGAGAGACTCTTATCTCTGCCTGTTTCTCTCTCTTCGCAATGAAACGGATCTCCTCCAAGTTAATAACACACGTTATCTGCAATCGCCCCACCGCACAATGTAAAATAAGAGGACGCATATATGATCCGTCAATAACATGCTTGTTTTTCCATTAATGAAATGCAAGAAGATCTGAATCTAATTAACAGGGTTTAGGAGGAGTTCCTAATGAACTTTAATGATGCAATATATATCACAGGAAGCTTTCCAGATATTTTCATCTGGTTATCAATGCCATCGATTCCCAGCAGGCATCTCTTCACCAAACTGGCCTGCACTTGTGTGGAGGTGGCAACTTGAGCCGCATTGATCTGGACCATCAATCACTGGGGTGGCAAACCCTTTTAGTGGAGACTATGCCCCCCCCCCTCTCCCTCTCTCTCTCTCTCTCTCTCT